GCTTTACAATTAAAGACTTGGGCCAACTTAAATATATCTTAGGTCTTGAATTTGCTCACTCTGATTCTGGTATTAATATGTGTCAAAGGAAATATGCCTTAGATATTTTAGTGACACTGGTTTTTTAGCTTGTAAACCTGCAATAACACCTATGGATCCTACTTTGAAACTTGTTCCTTTTTCTGACAATGATGTTCTTACTGATGCTTCTGAATATAGAAGGCTTGTCGGTAGGTTACTTTACTTGACAATTTCCAGGCCTGATATTGGTTACAGTGTGCAATGCTTGAGTCAATTTATGTCTAAACCTACTACCACACACTTATCTGCTGCTCACAGAGTTCTTAGATATATAAAGGGCACAGTTGGTCAAGGACTTTTATTTTCCAGACATGGCTCTTTAAATTTAACTGCATATAGTGACTCTGATTGGGCTAGCTGCTTAAGTACCAGAAAAAGCATTACTGGCTACTTTGTCTTTCTTGGCAATTCCCTCATATCCTGGAAGTCTAAGAAACAATGCACAATCAGCAGATCCTCTGTTGAATCTGAATACAGAGCCTTGGCTTCCACTTCATGTGAAATCCAATGGCTCCTGTATCTATTATCTGATTTTAATGTCTCACAATCTTCTCCAATTGTTCTGTTTACAGATAGCAAGTCTGCCATGGCAATGGCTTCTAATCCTGTCTTCCACGAAAGAACCAAACACATCCAATTGGACTGCCATCTCATCCGGGAAAAGATCTCTAAAGGGCTCATTCAACTCCAATACATCCCTACCAAGAACCAAAAAGCAGACATCCTCACAAAACCTCTCCAAGGACCAGCTTTTCATATCTTAAGTCCAAGCTAAACCTGCAAAATATCCATGTTTAGCTTGCGGGGGGGTGAAAATATATAGAATGTCATTTTATTATATGAAAAGTGTTACTCTCATATTAGTTGCTTTATTAATGTCATTAGAGTTGTCAATTATAAAAGACAACTTTAGTTGTTTTTAGGTTAGTATATATATAGGATCCTTGTACTTGTTTTCACAACTTTTCTCATAATATTCAATTCAGTATTTTTCTTTCTCTCTCTACTCTCTCTCTCTTTTCGTGTTCTCTGGTTTTGTTTATCACAAACCCTAGATCTACATAGCTTGATTAGGTTCGTGGGTGCTGGTAAATTCTCGTAGGTTGAATAATATTAGTTCTCGAGGTGCTGTTTTCGGTTGCACTTTGTCGATCTGACTTGCTGTTTTGTGTGGGTGCATGTAGTTATGGTGAATTTTTGTTCTTCTTTTGTGAATTTTGTTGGTCTGATCGTACTTTGTCCATTTTAGGTTCATGGGTGCTGGTGAATGCTCGTGATTTGGATAATTTTAGTTCTCGAACTGCTGATTTCTGTTACATTCTATCGATTTGACGTGCTGATTTGTGTGGGTGTGAGTGTGTGTAGCTGTGGTTAATTTTTGTTTTGTTTTTGTGAATTTTGTTGATCTGATTGTTCGCTAGCTAGGTGGAAGAATGTTCTGGCAAATTATTAGTTTTTGCGACTTTTTAGTGCATGATTTCCTCTTTTTGTAATGGTTTTGTTTTGTATTTATTTATTGAAGTGGATTTTCTTGTGCAGATGTTCGTGTCTTGGGAGTCCATACATTCTTTAATCTGCTGTTGACTTAAATTCTTGAAAGAATTTGACTTGACCTGTGTTGTGACTTTGGCTCATGTATTTAGTCAATTGTGTTTTATGTTTACTGAAATTGGCGTTGAAGTTGAAGTAGTTTCATTTCGAGTTCATGCAAAAATGAAAAAAAAAAAAGAAGATAAAAAGTAATGTAAACTCAAGCACAGATTTTCTTTCTTGTTTTGCTCTAAGGTCTATTGTTGTGGAATGCAATCGAAACAGAGAATTGCCATGAAGCAAGCTCTGTAAGGTGCAAACTTGAATTGTGGCTTGATTTCTTCATACTAATTGTTCTTGAGCTGCTGAACGAGAAATGCTTAGAAGTTGGATCATTATTGCTAGCTGACAATTTGTTTAAACCTTGTTCAGGATCTTTGAACCATGGATGAAAACTTATCTGCTGCCACTGTAATGGACTCCACAGCCTCTAAGATACAACAACTTCAGAAAGCATTCGCTGAGCTGGAAAGCCACCGAGCCATCACTATGAATTTGAAATGGGAACAGCTCGAGGAACATTTTCACGGGCTCCAAAAATCTCTGAAGAGACGTTTCACCGAACTCGAAGAACAAGAGAAGGACTTTGAAACCAAAATATTCGAATCCAAAGAGATTCTGGAAAAACGTAAAGCAGCAGTTGCGGCTAAGGAGCAAACTTCGCTCGAGAGGCTTCAAGAGAAACGAGATGCTGCAGTCTCGTCCATTTTAAGTGCCATGGGGAAGCACGAGAAGCCCGATTCTCTGGAGAATCGAGTCGAGCCGCAAGTTCTTGAGGAAAAGACACCTAACAAACTAAAACCTGCTGAAATTACGAATATCGAGGTGAAGTCTTATCCGGAGCTGGTGAAATTGTGCCGAGAGATGAACTCCGAGGGACTTCATAAATTTATATCTGTCAACCGTAAGGATCTTGTTACTTTAAGAGATGAAATTCCTGTTGCTTTGAAGGCTGCTGCTGATCCTTTCTCTCTCGTGTTAAACTCGCTCGAGGGTTTTTACGGAGTCGACGTGCAAAACTCGGATTCTAAAAAGGATTCAAATCTCTTAGGCGTTCGCCGAACGTGCATTATGCTGATGGAATGCCTCAGCAGTTTATTCTCGAATGTGAATGCAGACTCACTTTCTAATATTATATCGGATAATTGTAAGGAGAGGGCAAAAGCTTTTGCCGAAGAGTGGAAACCGAAGTTGGATTATCTTGATGTTGATGCTAGCAATGGGAATTCATTGGAGGCCCATGCATTTTTACAGCTTTTGGCTACTTTCGGTATTAATTCGGATTTTGACCAGGATTGCTTGTCCAAATTAATACCCATGGTGTCCCGCCGTCGGCAAACAGCTGAATTGTGCCGTTATCTTGGCTTGTCAGACAAAATGCCAGGTTAATAATAGTTAATATATGGTTAAGGTTTAGTTATTTTTCCGCTATTCGAGGATGCAAAGCATAAGTACTCATACGGTAAATTCAGGCTGCTTTTCTTCTGTTCTTTTAGAATGTTTATACATTTTTTTTTACATGAAATCCATCTAGAATCTTATTGACCTTCAGTTACAACTTTATATTCACTGTCCGGGCTATTACTTAGTTATATTATGCATACGGTTGAATCTCTTATTTCAGACTTCAGAGTTATACCTAACCCTTGACAAAAAAAAAAAAAAAACAAAAAAACAAAAAAGAAGCTAGGTCCCAAATTATGTAAACCTGAATGCCTATAACTTATTGCTTGTATCTTATCAGGTGTGATTGATGTGTTGGTGAGGAATGGAAGACAGATTGATGCTGTAAATTTAGCTTTTGCTTTTCAACTTACCGATCAATTTTCACCTGTTGCATTACTGAAATCCTACGTGTCTGAGGCAAAAAAAGTGCCATCTTCCACAAAACCTGGAAATACATCGCCTAGTGCCTCTCCACAGGTTTTGCTTCTTTTATCTCTGTCTTTATTGGATTTTTTGGTGAAATGATCAACTTTTGGAAATTTTACAAAATGCACTATTGAGTTGTACCGGAATTAAAAATTTTAGTCACATTTCAAAATTACAACCCACCTCTGTTTCAGATTTTTTTCTACTTTGATAAACATCCCCTACTGTAAGTTACAACTCCGGCGTATTTATTTGTAATTAGAAATGAAACTAACTATCCAAAAATTAAATATGCTACTACTATTCTGCTTAATATACTAAACCAAAAAGTTAAAATATGCTACTATCAGTTTAAAGTACGACTAGCCTGTGCATTCAAATGGTGTAAACCGTTCCCCACATAGAGGCTCATTGTTTTCACAACACAAAATCTCATTTCTAGGCAACCCAAAATGAAGTGAACGAGAAAGAACTATCTGCACTCAAAGCTGTGATCAGGTGCATCGAGGATCACAAAATCGAGCATCAGTTTCCCGTGGGCCCACTCCACAAACAGGTGGCTGGGATCGAGAAGGCAAAGGCGGACAAGAAACGGGCCACAGAAGTTTCCAAGCCACAGCCCAAAAGGCCCCGTGCAAATGCCATAGCCCATCACGCGCCTCGGGCTTATAATGAGAAGAATAACAACTACAGGTACCCTCCACAGCATTACATTTACGAGAGGCCGTATGTATATCCGGGGCATGTGGGCCCGCCTGCAGCCTATAATAGCTTCTCCCCGGGACATGTTAACTTCTTTGGGAACGGCGGTTATCAGTATCAAACCGCGTACTTGCACTAATCCCACTAGGATGATGATGATGATTGATGAATGAGGATGATTTATGATGGATCCTCTTGACTATTAGTGTTGACCTTTTATTTCCTTCGTGTAATGTTGAACTTTTCAGAGATTTTAATTAAGTAATTTGAGGAGAAACTGAATGGTGATGGGCATTTAGATTAGCCTTGTTTAACTAATTTTCCTAGCCTGTTGTGTTGTAAAAGCTAATATCCTCATGTTGTAATGGATGGATGTATTGTATTTTACTTTTTTTTTTTTTTTTGGAGCTTTTTTTTGCTTGTGCATGTGCCTAAAAGATGAAACAAAAGCTGCAAATCTAAAACCAATCTGAAAATTATGATCCACTAGATTGACTAATCAGATTTTGTTTCAAATCTAGAAGTCATGAAACTTGTAAATTTTGATCTATTAGAATGACTAGTCAGATCTGATGAAGAGTCAAGAACTAATCAGATCTGATGAATCAAGAGCTAATCAGATCTGATGAAGAGTCGAGAGCTTCAAAACTAAAGCCATTTGAAAATTTTGATCCACAATAATGGCTAATCAGATCTGACGAAGAGTCGGGAACTCAATTGGTCACATACAATATCAAACATATCTTAAAGAAGAATGACTAATCTGATGAAGAGTCGATAACTCAAATGTCTTCAAATGTCTTAAAGAAGAATGACTAGTCAAATCTGATGAAGAGTCACTAACTCAATTTATTGACGGCAATATCAAACATATCTTAAAGAAGAAGCAAAAATTGCATATCTAAAGCTATCAAACATAAAAACTCTATAGTTCACTCCAAGGACTAAATAGATATGATGATAGGAACTCACTTTACTGAAAAGAAAGAATCAATAATTGTAGGAACTAGGAAGTAGCCAAACTTGAGAAATTTTTGTTTGGCCTATTTGCATATGTACCGTTATTAAACATAAAAAATTGTATGTTTACATAATTTTAAAATTATTTGTGCATGTACGAAATTCAAGCAAAATAATTATGTAGTTGCTAGATACCAAAACATTGCATTGATATATAGTTTCCTAACTAAATCCCGTAACTGAAGGGTTGCTCCATATTAAATAAATACCATGATTGAGAAATACCATTAATAACAAAATATCATCCTAAAAATACTCTCTCTCTCTCTCTCTTATCTCTCTCTCTCTCTCTCTCTCTCTCTCTCTCTCTCTCTCTCT